GTTTGATGACTCAGTCCTTGCTGAGTTGCCTGACTGGAGCATTGCAGGTGATCTCGATGATCCCCATAGCTTGTCTGAAGTGGAAAAAGCAATCACCCAAATGTCGAATGGAAAAGCTCCGGGTTTGGACGGGCTGCCGGCAGAACTCTTCAAATGTGGTGTCATCGAACTTAAAACCAGGATGGTGACAATGTTCCAAGACATGTGGGATAGGAAATCGGTTCCTCAAGATTTTAAGGATGCCCTTATCATTCAAATATTCAAACGGAAAGGGAATCGTTCATGCTGTAATGATCACAGAGGCATTTCTCTGCTATCGATTCCTGGAAAAATATTGGTCCGCGTGATCGTCAACCGCCTAACCAAGTACGTCAATGATGTTGGTATCCTTCCAAAGGGTCAGTGTGGCTTTCGGGCTGGTCGTGGTACTATGGATATGATTTTTACTGCCAGACAACTTCAAGAAAAATGTCGTGAGCAACAACGCGAACTTTTCTTTGTCTTCATAGATTTAACAAAGGCGTTCGATTCCGTCAACCGATCAGCGTTATGGAAATGTCTCAAAAAGATCGGTTGGCTCGCAGTTGAACGCTGTGGATCGATTTTGCTACCTTGGTAGCTACCTCTCCAACACTACTGCAATTGATGATGAAATTACGGTTAGGATTGCCAAGGCTGGTGCTGCTTTTGGTGGTTTGAGTGGACGACTCTGGAAGGAACGGGGTGTGTCGCTGGCTACTAAAATATCTGTCTATAAGGCAGTTGTGTTAACCACAATGTTGTATGGATGTGAGACATGGATTACTTATAGGCGCCATATACGTAGACTCGATCAGTTTCATATGAGATGTCTACGGGTTATCGCTAACGTTAAATGGGAGGATAGGGTGCCAAATACGACTGTATTGGAAATGTGTGGTTCTTGGGTATCGAGGCATTTTTGTTACAGGCATAGTTTCGTTGGGCGGGACACGTTATCCGCATGCCGGACACAAGAATTCCCAAACAGGTGTTTTTCGGACAGCTGGCTTCTGGAGTTCGCCTTGCAAGCGGTCCAGTTCGCAGATTTAAAGATAATCTGAAGGAAAACCTAAAAAAAGTCGGACTGGATTCTAAAACCTTGGGTGTCGTTGCACTCGAGCGTTCACAGTGGAAGACACGCTCACAAGCGGCAGTTTCCGCCTTTGAGGAGGCGCGCATTGCAGCTCTAGTTGGAAAAAGAGGACGGCGTAAGCGTAGGCCCGGGATGGTAACAGCACAGGGGTGGGTGTGGGTTTGCGGATCCTGTGGTCGTCGATGTTCATCAAGAATAGGCTTGTTCTCGCATCAAAGGGCTCATCAATGACACAATTCGTCGAACGCGACGATGTATTCCATGTGTGTGTGTGTATATTTGTATGCGTGTGTGTATGTTTGTATGCGTGTAAGTGTGTATGTACATGTGTCTGTGTATGTATGTATGTGAATGTGTGTGTGTATGTATATATGTGTATATGTATATATATATGTGTGTGTGTGCGTGTGTGGTGTGTGTGTGTGTGTATTTGAATGTATCCCAGGTGACGTCATACCTAATGTACATCACTTATTTAGTGTGTGCAAAAATTAAATTCTTAGTAAATGAGAGAAAGAAAAAAAAAACAACCAAAGATATATATATATCCGTCTATTTTGATTTTCGCCCAGGTTGTCATTGTCGAAAAGTTATTGTCTTTTTTTTATGTTTTCATTCTTTGTTGTCGTAAGAATCCATTATCGTTCGTCATCATTGATAATTATTAATTATTACTATTATAATTATTAATTATTATTTATTATTATATAAATATATTATTTTATAT